ATTGTGAAAATGTCTATGCTACCTAAAGCAATCTACACATTTAATGCAATTCCTATCAAAGTACCATCCATTTTTTTCAAAGAAATGGAACAAATAATCCTAAAATTTATATGGAACCAGAAAAGACCTCGAATAGCCAAAGCAATATTGAAAAAGAAAGCCAAAGTTGGTGGCATCACAATTCCAGACTTCAAGCTCTATTACAAAGCTGTCATCATCAAGACAGCATGGTACTGGCATAAAAAAAGACACATAGATCAATGGAACAGAATAGAGAGCCCAGAAATAGACCCTCAACTCTATGGTCAACTAATCTTCAACAAAGCAGGAAAGAATGTCCAGTGGAAAAAAGACAGTCTCTTCAATAAATGGTATTGGGAAAATTGGACAGCCACATGCAGAAAAATGAAATTGGACCATTTCCTTACACCACACATGAAAATAGGTTCAAAACGGATGAAGGACCTCAATGTGAGAAAGGAATCCATCAAAATCCTTGAGGAGAACACAGGCAGCAACCTCTTCGACCTCAGCCGCAGCAACATCTTCCTAGGAACATCACCAAAGGCAAGGGAAGCAAGGGCAAAAATGAACTATTGGGATTTCATCAAGATCAAAAGCTTTTGCACAGCAAAGGAAACAGTTAACAAAACCAAAAGACAACTGACAGAATGGGAGAAGATATTTGCAAATGACATATCAGATAAAGGGCTAGTGTCCAAAATCTATAAAGAACTTAGCAAACTCAACACCCAAAGAACAAATAATCCAATCAAGAAATGGGCAGAAGACATGAACATTCTGCAAAGAAGACATCCAGATGGCCAACAGACACATGAAAAAGTGCTCCACATCACTCGGCATCAGGGAAATACAAATCAAAACCACAATGAGATATCACCTCACACCAGTCAGAATGGCTAAAATTAACAAGTCAGGAAATGACAGATGCTGGCGAGGATGCGGAGAGAGGGGAACCCTCCTACACTGTTGGTGGGAATGCAAGCTGGTGCAACCACTCTGGAAAACAGCATGGAGGTTCCTCGAAATGTTGAAAATAGAACTACCCTATGACCCAGCAATTGCACTACTGGGTATATACCCTAAAGATACAAACGTAGTGATCCGAAGGGGCACGTGCACCCAAATGTTTATAGCAGCAATGTCCACAATAGCCAAACTATGGAAAGAACCTAGATGTCCATCAACAGACGAATGGATAAAGAAGATGTGGTATATATACACAATGGAATACTATGCAGCCATCAAAAGAAATGTAATCTTGCCATTTGCAACGACGTGGATGGAACTAGAGGGTATCATGCTTAGCGAAATAAGTCAATCGGAGAAAGACAACTATCATATGATCTCCCTGATATGAGGAAGTGGAGATGCAACATGGGGGGGTTAAGGGGGTAGGAGAAGAATAAATGGGATTGGGAGGGAGACAAACCATAAGTGACTCTTAATCTCACAAAACAAACTGAGGGTTGCTGGGGGGAGCGGGTTTGGGAGAGGGGGGTGGGGGTATGGACATTGGGGAGGGTATGTGCTATGGTGAGTGCTGTGAAGTGTGTAAACCTGGCGATTCACAGACCTGTACCCCTGGGGATAAAAATACATTATATGTTTATAAAAAATAAATTTTAAAAAATGGAAAAAAAAAAAGAAAAGAACTTTCAACACAGAATTCTTCTATATCCAGCAACTATCCTTCAAGAATGAAGGGGAAATAAAGACATTCTTGGATGATGGAAAACTAAGAATTTGTTGCCAGATGACCTACCATAGAAGAATGACTAAAAGTTCTCTGAAACAGAAAGGAAATGATTTAAAAAAAAAAAAAAGGAATCTGAAAATCAGGAAGAAAGAACTGAAATGGCAAAAATGTGGGTAAATATACTACTTTACTTCTCCTGAATTTTCTAATTATGTTTAGCTGTTGAACAAAAATTGTAACACTATCTAATTAATTCATTCTCAACGAATGTAAATAAGAAAATTTTATTATGAATGAGGGAGGGTAAAGGGATATAAACTGAAGTAAAGTTCCTAAATTTCACTTTAACTGGTGAAATGCCTAGTGGGATAAAGGACAGAGGAGGCAGATCTCAGAAAGTATCCACGAAACCACATTTTTTAAAAAGTGCTCTGCATCTATTTACTCAGCTCTCTAAATCTGGCTTTTCAAAAGTAGTCTAGCAACCATGGTTTTACTTAAGGCCTCTAATGAGCTCTCCTCTCCTCTTGACGTTTATGCTGTACTTGACAGTGTTGAATACCTCTTAAAATCTCTCATCCCCTGTTGTTAGGGAAACCAACCTATTAACTCTCCTACATTTATGTATACTTTTTCTCAATGTCCTGAATTGATTTCTATCTTCTAGTCATCCCTTATTTTTGTGTTTCTCAAAGTCTGGGCCTCAAACCATGTGCAGAGGAAACACCCGAGCCCCGGTCCAGACCCACTGATTCCTGGGTATGAGTTCCAAGGCATCAGCCTTTGAGTAAGTTCCCCCTCCCACCCCGCCAAAGTGATTCAAGTGTGAAAATTGTTTTAAATATTCACCCACAGGGTTCTGTCCTTGGTCCTTTTCTATTTCTGTTACACATGCACAATTAAAGCCACACCCAAAACTTCCCCCACTTACTGCTATCAGTTGGATGTGTAAGCTGTCTACCATCGGCCCCTGCCCCAGACAGCACCTATAATCCTACCTGACACAAAGGATATTTATTTGAATGAGCATGATGGCTCTCAAACCTGCTTTGTCAATTAAGACCTATCTCTTTTGGACTCCATACCTGTATGTGCAGCTATCCAACAGATATGTTCACCTGGTGTCCTAAGTTACCCTGAATTTGTTAGGATTAAGTTCAGCCAACAGTAACAGAAAAACCTAAAAGAATAGTGGTTTACTCATAGAACACAGAAGTTTATTTCTCTCAATAACAGTCTGGAACAGGCCAGTATGAAAATTCTGCTCCACAAAAAGTCTCAGGGATTTTGGCTCCTTTCTGCTTTCCACTCCACTATGCCTAGAAGATGGTCCCCATTTCATGGTTCAGGATGGAACTCCACCCAAAACAAGCACATAACTAGCGGCAGGACAGATGCAGAAAGAAGGAAGACAGAAGGGTACATTCATCTCTAATATACTTCCTATAAGTAGAACATACTAGCTCTACTTTTATCCCATTGGCCAGGACTTAGTCTCGAGGCCATATATATGTAACTGCTAGGGAGGCTGTAAAAGTAGTCTTCATGTTAGGCAGCTGAACTGTGTTACTACAAAATAAGGGAGACCAGATAGTAGAAGACAACAGAATTCTTGGCCATGCATTCCAAAGTCACCATGTTCCAAACTGAACCACCTCATTTTCAGAGTAAACTGTGTGATTTTATACCTTTGTGATGTGTCCACCCTACCTGTATCTCTATTCCGCCTGGCAAACTCCTCCTTTCTTAATACTCATATCATGTGTTTTTCTGTTAAGCATTCCTTTACCCAACCACTTTTCCCTCCAGCCTAAAAAAACTGGATGTCTTTGGGCCACTTTCGTATCTAGCACACATCTGTATTTTTGCATTGCTAGTTCTGCATATGTACATATTTTTTTAAAGCCTATTCTTCCATTTATCCTTCTTTGACTAGAAGGTAAACTCCTTGAGGGCAGAGACTGCCTTAGTATCATACATACATAAGATCTGAAACATATTAAATTTTACAAAAATCAGCCATTAATATCTACTTCCTAGAATTATGGCAGCAGGGAACTGGTAAAATAGGTCCCTGAAAAGAAGGACAACATCGTATGTAGTATTGTAATATAATGGGATGTGTTAAAGTCCCAAATCCAAAAAGATTCTAACAGCAGTTACAAGAATATGACTATATGCTTTTATCTAGCCATTGCTCTCATGCTACACACATTACTTACACATTTTCTACACTCACCTTTTTTTCCGGTCTAAATAAATTTTAGTTGGATAAATTTTAAGTATGTTTACATTTGATTCTACTAGTAAGTTTATCTTTAACTTAAGCCAATGATTAGGTTCTATGCTTAGATCCCACTTAAATCTCAGCACTTATTCCATCACAGAAGACCAGGTTAGGCATGTCTAAGCTTTTGGAAGAGTCCCTAAGGAACCTCAATATTTGATGATTTTTTTCGGAAAGAAAGTATCTAGATGATAATAGAATTCAATTTAGGAAGAAGCACAGCATTACAACTGCTAAACAACCGACTATAACAACATGTTAATCTTCCATAGTCTAAAATTTTCGGTGACATAGGCACCTGGGTGGCTCAGTCGGTTAAATGTCTGACTCTTTACTTCAACTCAGGTCATGATCTCGGGGTCATGAGACCGAGTCTCATGCTGGGCTCGGTGCTCAGCAGAGAGTCTCCTTGAGAGTCTCTCCCTCTGCCCCTCCCCCAACTCACTCACACATTTTCTCTCTCTCTCTCAAATAATCTTTTTTCAAAATAAGTAAATAAATAAATAAATAAATAAAATTTTCACATGCAGACAGGTAGATTTTACTTAAGACTATCAAAGTATCAGTTTAACGTGAAAAAACTGACCAAAATTACGCAAAATATGTATATAACAGTTGTTATGCCTTACCCTTTAAAAACTACCATTGAGATATAAACAATGGAATACTATGTGCAATTTTAAATTGAATATCAACTATAAAGATAGCTAAGCACCCCAAAATGCTTACAGTAGCAAGGTGCCAACGGCCCAAGTGTGACTTGTAGCTTGCCCATATTCTCCAATGTGGACTATCAATTCAGATTATGATGCTGAGTTGGCTCTCAAAAATTCTAATCATTTCCCATCTTCTACCTCCAGTTCTCTAGCCTAAGCAGTGCCCTTCCTGTTCTGTCTGCTGCTCCAGCTGAGCAAAAGTCCTAACCTCAATGCCAAAAGCAGTTAGAACTAAATTTAATAAAATAAAAGAGTGTGTAGTCACTTATTATCTTACCATGAGTTCCTGGTGGTTGTAATACATCTCCTGTCAGGCGACACCACCCAACTGGGAAAATATCTCGACAATCGTACTTGCACCAATAATCAAAAGCTCCACTCCAGCCATCAAATGTGATATAAACTTCATCTCCTCTAACATCTCCAATAGTTGCAGGGCAGATCAGATAAGGGTTCTTTTTGTCTATAGCTTCAAGTTTCATTCCCACTTTAAAATTATTTAGAGGTGGCTTTGGTGGTTCCTACCAAAACATTTAAAAAAAAGTTTTTTGTTAAGATGTAATAAGAAGCATTTGCTCAACTGTTATCTCACAACTTTTAGCAATCAAAAATTAAACTCCATGTTTATCAATTAAATACAGAAAGAAAACTTTTCTCAGAGATCTCTCTGAAACTCTGCTCTACATGTCACTTACTCTGGAGCAGAGCCGAGAACCTGGAAGGAAACAAAACCAGACTGATAGTAATTCATTCAGTCATCTAAGAAATATGTGTTATATAGTATATACCAGAAATTGAGGATTCATTAGTGAACAAAAAAATAACAAAGATCCCTGCTCTGGTGGAGCTTACCTTCTAGTGGTGGTGGTGGTAGTGGTTGGGGTGTGGGTAGGGGAAAAAGAGACAAGCAATCAACAAGAAATGTAGAAAGAGGGACTCAAACAAACCTAACAAATGTATAAATTATAGTGTATGTTGAAAGCTGCTAAGTCCAAGGAGAATAAACAGCAACAGATAATATCTTAAAAAAAAAAAAGAAAGAAAAAAAAAACACCTCCAAGTATAAAATGCAGACACAAGAACATGAAAGTCATATAATCTGGGGTCATTTATGATATCCAATCCAGAAACCAATATTTAAAAAGCATACTTTAGTTATAAAAATTTAAAGCATGCAAATGCTAACCCGATTCTTAGAAAACCTAAGTGCTATGTTAAAAGCAACACCTTTTCTTTCAATTTGCTTTTTATTCTAGCAAATAGCACCATCATCGACCCAGTCACCCAAGCCAAAAGACTGGAAATAGTCCTAGACCAGGGGTTGTCAGCCCAACTAAACATCAAAACACTTGAGGCCACACCCCCAGGATACTGATTGAATTGGTCTGGAGTGGGGCCCAGACATCAGCACATTTTAATTACCCAGGTTATCCTAATGTGCATCCAAGGCTGAGAACCACTGTGCTAGACACATCCTATTCCCTTAACAATCACATTCAGAAACCAAGACCTGCCAATTCTATCCCTTAAATCCCTAGGATAACGACATTAAAAGTCAACCTTCGATCATTTAGTATATGCCAGGCACTGTTCTAAATGTTTTTCGTATATATTTAATTCTCACAACAACCCTATAAAGTCAATGCAATTATTATCCCCATTTTATAGATGATAAAACTGATGCACAATTGCCTATGAATATACCAGAAGTATCAGAGCTAGATTTTAAACGAAGGCAGACAACTCCTTGGAACATACTACCACATCACCTGCTTGGACAACTCCAACTGATCCACTTCAAAGCCCAGATCCCCTGGTCTCTTTAAAGCTTCCCTGGCCAGTTCCTGCCTACTCCTACAGCCCCTCAATGGAGGTGCTCTTGCCTTCAATTGCAAAACTACTCTTGAAATGTGTTTACTCCTCTGAGACTAAGGGATTCTCAAAAGAAAATATATCTTATTCATATTATTTCCAACAGAGTACTCAACAGCAAGATCTTTTCTCTAAAAAAATGAATTAACCAAGTAATCACCTGAAAAACAGTAAACAAGCTTTAAACTAATTCTTTCACTAAGATAAAATTTAAAAATATATCTGGTAGGTTGATTCCCTTTTTAAATGTCCCCTTTAAACCCATCTCATCATCCTGTACTTTCCCAGTGATACCCTTTATACCCTTGAAGTCTTAAAGTTCCTCAATTATAAGTCTTCAAAGTCCTTTTAATTACATAATCTTGATTTGATTCTTAAAAAACACCCAAAAGTCAGCTTGATCAAAGATCAAAGTTATTTGATAAATAAGTAGCTGGTAACTAAGAAGCAGAATTACTGCCACTTCATGAAGGGGCTAAAGGTTAACTAACGGTTACTACATAAGGAAGGAAAAAAGGGAGGTGGATTTAACAAAACGTAACTTTGACAGTTGATAAACTTGTGCTGCACGTGCACAGAACGGAGGAAATATCCAAGGCACACATAAGGTTCCTAGGGCCTTACACGATCATATAACCAAATAAGAATAAGACTTTCTGTGGCAAAGCGAACTAAATTCAAATGGCAATATACATTTTCTGCTACAAAACAGAATTAAGACAGGAATGAACAGGAAAGAGAATTTTAAGATTCAAGCTATAATCTAAAAAGAGAACCCAAATGCAACAGTGGGTCATCAATGCCACTATTAGCTGACAGGTTAAAAAAAAAAAAAAAAAGATTATGGACAAAATGCAATTTATTCTCTAAGATTTTCATATTGTTTATTAATTCTTCTACATTTCATGAATACGCTATCAAAGTGACTTACATCAGTATAGCCATACAAACAAATATTAACAGAGCTCTGGAAGAAAACCAATATTGATTTTTAAAAAATCAAAGGAACTGCTCCTTTTTCATAAATAAATGAAAGGGTTTTATCTCAAAAAACAAGCTACCTCCAGATTTAGATAACTGGCAAAATGGTTCCCTCTGCTGTCCACAAAAGGTAATGATATAAAGTTGCTTTTAAAAATGTTTTTAAAGAATATGGTTTGCCATCACCAGTTCTTGAATTACTTCCTAAACACAAAGATATAATTTGTAGGGGTGCCTAGCTTGCTCAGTCAGTAGAGAATGCAAATCCTGGTCTTGGGGCCCTGAGTTCAGCCCAACGTTGAGCAGAGAGCTTACTTAAAAAAAAATTGGGGTGGGGGCGCCTCGGTGGCTCAGTTGGTTAAGCAACTGCCTTATGCTCAGGTTATGATCCTGGAGTCCTGGGATCGAGTCCCACATCCATCCGGCTCCCTGCTCGGCAGGGAGTCTGCTTCTCCTGCTGACCTCTCTCCTCTCTTGTTCTCTCTCAGATAGATAGATAGATAGATAGATAAACTTATATATATATATATATATATATATATATATATATATAAAAGCAAGAGCTTAAAAAAAACAAGGGATCATTCTTTTCACTGTGAGAAAAAAATTATTCTTTCTTAGAAGGTAGTAAAGAATGCTCTTTTAACCCCTCTCCTTGCCTACCTACATACAATACGGTTCTCCTTAAAGGATATTTCTTCTCATATCCCACAGACTCTGAAGCTAGTGTGAGCATCATCTGCATTACCCCTTTGCCGCCATATTGCCGCCATATTCTTACCCCTGTAACCTCATGGTTCCTTCTCTCCCTTTCTTCAGATCTTCATTCCAATGGCATCTTCTCAGCAAGACCTTCCTGGCCACCCATCTAAAATGTCACCCTCCCTTTTCCTTAGCAGGTACAACCATCAAACATAATACAGACTTTATTTACTTTGCATGCTTAATTATGAATTTCCCCAGCTAGAAGGCAAGCTCCATAAGGACAGGAGCTCTTTTACTGTTTTGTTTATGGCTGTATTCCCAGAGTCTACTTCTGACCACAGACTTCTATCCTTAACTTTTACTTCCTTACTTTTTTAATCAACTACTTCTTTGATCTCATCAAAAATTTTAGTCCCTTAAACTTCATTTATTTATTCACAAATATGTACAAAATGCCTACTAATGCCAAACACTACTAAAGGCTCCTAATAAACATTAAGTAGAGAAACAGACAGATATCTCCCCCTTGTGGTATTCACATGCTAGTAAAGAGAAAGATGAGAAACACCGTAACATAAGCATATTTATCTAAGTTAGAAATGACAAGTGCTTATGCAAAAAAACAAAGTAAAGCAGAGTAAGGGAGATCCAGAGAAAAATGTATGGAGGGGCTGTGTTAAACTTAAACCAGGGCGAGGCACCTGGATGGCACAGTCGGTTAAACGGGGCGAACTCTTGGTTTCAACTTAGATGGTGAGATTAAGCCCTGTGATGGACTCCATGCTCATGGCAGGTTCTGCTTAAGGCTCCCTTTGCCAGCCCTTCCCACCCCACTCTACCCTCTGGCACACATTGTCTCTCTAATAAGATCTTTTAAAATAATAATAAATAAACAAATTTTAAAAAGAAAGACTTTTTTTTAGGATTTTATTTATTTGAGAGAGAGAGAAGGTAGGGGGAGCACATGAGTTGAAAGGGTGGAGAGAGGGAGAAGCAGACTCCCTGTTCAGCAGGGAGCCTGATGAGGGACTCCATCCCAGGACCCCGGGATCATGACCTGAGCCAAAGGCAGATGCTTAACCGACGGAGCCACCCAGGCACCCCACAAAGAAATACTTTAAATAGGGTAATCAGAACAAGCCTCATACGGAAGATGACATGTGAGCACAACCCTAAAGGTGACTACTAACCACACAGTTACCTACAGGCAGAGAGAACAACCAGCGCGAAGTCCCTAAAGCAGGAGATGTGTCCACATGTTCAAAGGACAAGGAAGTGAGTGTGGCTACAATTTAGTATGCAAGTGGGAGAGCAGGAGGAAACAAAGTTAGAGAGATAATGAGGTGTCGTATGTAGAACCATGGAGGCCACTATAAGGACTCTGACTTTTATTTTGAGTAAAATGGTGAGCCCCTGTACAATTTTGAGCAAAGAAGTGATATAATTTCATTTATATTTTAAAAGGAATATTCTGGTTACTGTGTTGATTACAAACTGTAAGCTTACAAATAAAGAGGTCAATGAGGAAGCTACTGAAGTAATCTAGGTGAGAGATAAAGGCAACTTGTACAAGCTGATAGCAAGGGAGATGTTAAAAAGTAGTTGGATTTTCAATATATTTTGAAGGTAAAGCCCATAGGATTTCCTTATGGACTAGATGTAGTGTGTGCAAGAAATAATCACCAAGGTTTTTGTCCCCAGCAATTGGAATAACAGTTGCCACTCCTCTAGATGGGAAAGGCTACAGGCAGAAGTTTGAGATGTCTGTTGGACATCCAAGTGGGGTTGTTGAGTGGATATTCAAGTCTGAGTTGGGAGCAAAGCCTGAACTGGAAATATGGATTTGAAAGTCATCTGCACATAAACTGTATTTAAAGCCAGAAATTAGATGAGATCACCAAGAAATTAATACAGATCAGAGTTTTTCAACCTTGGCACTATTGCCATTTGGAGTTAGAACATT